ACATCCAAGAAGGGAGCGGCGTTTGGTTTTGCGGCGATCGCTAGTATCGCGAAAGACGAACTGAATAAATATCTGCCTAGTATTATACCGCGATTGTATAGATATCAGTTCGATCCTACGCCCAAGATTCAGCAGAGTATGACCAGCATTTGGCGGGCTGTTGTTCCTTCAACGTCGAAAGCTGTTAGTAAAATATTATTATAGATATACAGGGAGTCCCATAGGAAATTGCTGAAACTAATCAGCTGCCATTTTTTAATGCATGCAGTTATTAAGAAAACAAAAAATTGTGTTAAAAAAAGCAAAGTCTACAGTTTTTAATAGATATAATGTTAGCATCTTTTTTTATTACTTTTTATCAATAAAATAAACTGGTGTACAAACATTTTATTTATATCCATTAAAACTGTAGTTTTTTCCAACACAATTTTTGTTTTTTCTATAACTGCATGTATTAAAAAACGACAGCTGATTAGTTTCAGCAATTTTCTATGGGACACTATACATATCTTTATTAATAATATTTGATATACCACATATAATGGAATGAGCGTAAAAATATGTTTTTTTTATATATCACCGTATAGATCGAACAATATCATAAAGAAATATTGACTGATGTAACTGATAATCTAACCAATAACGAGTGGAGGGTACGTATCAGTTGTTGTAATGCTCTCGCAGATCTTTTAAGGACAGCAAATGTTCAACTCAATTTGGCTGAATGTGGTCCGGAACTATGGAAGAAACTGTTTCGCGTGATGGACGATATTCACGAAGGCACGCGATTAGCCGCGACGAACACTGCTAAGATACTTAGTAAGGTAAATTGCGAGCTTTTTTTTAAATAATGATGGTTTACAATTATGTGAGAGATTTCTATATAATATATATATATATATATATATAAATATGTATAATATATTCTCGCTGTATAAATATAATGTATATAATATACATATATTCTCTCGTTTTATGTAAAATATATATTACTATATATAATAATCTTTTTTATAGGTTTGCATACGTCATTGCGATTCTTCGCACGGCAACGCGGGCAAGGAAGTTATTCAAGCTATATTACCTGTGCTACTCGACATTGGAATTACTCACACTGTAGATACAGTGAGAGCCATTTCATTGCAAACGGTGTCTCAACTCGTATCCACGGCTGGCATTCTATTAAAACCGTCGCTCGTCAATTTAATACCGTCATTATTAGAGACGATTGGTGAATCGGAGAATCCTAAGCTTTCGTATTTGAGCACCGTGTGCGGAGCAGCAACGGAAACGCAAGAAGCTATCGATAATCTCAGAGCTAATGTTGCCAAGGGTCATTACGCATCAGATACAATAACAAAGGTACTTCTTTTTGATCAATCTAGAATTTATTCTGGAAATAAATTTGATCGAGTTTAAGTAACTTAAGTACCTATGTTCTTCTACAGTGTATCCAATATATTGATGCGGATGTATTGAAGGAATTAATGCCAAAAGTAATAGATTTAATCAAATGCAGCATAGGATTTGGAACAAAAATTGCTTGTTCGCATTTCGTAATTCTTCTCAGCACACATCTAAAATTGGAATTGCAGCCATATAGTGGTTAGTAAATATATATTTCAAGAATATGAAATACAAGATATTCTTACTATATGAAATTTAATCTCTTTATTCTATATATATTTAAATTATTCTTATAAAACATTATTAATATTATAGTAATTTAAGATATTTTATCAACTTTTTTTATAGTTTTCATAATTTTTACAATTAATCATCTCTGTTATTTCTCTTTCAGCTAAAATTCTATCTGCCTTACTTAATGGTTTAATTGATCGTAATACTGCTGTGAGAAAAAATTATGCAGTTACCATTGGTCATATAGTTGGTTCAGCTAAAGATTCTAGTCTGGATAAATTATTTAATACTCTGAATACATGGTATTTGGAACGCGAAGGTACATTCAAATTTTAACAGTACATTTATTTTATACAACATATAATTTTGTTCTATAAAGCACCAAAACAAAAAAATTATAAATTACAGATGATGCAATAAGATTAGCAATTGGACAAACTTTGCAATCTATAAATAATTATAATCAGGAAAAATTAAAGAATTATCAAAAAATAGTTATTCCTCTTGCCTTCTTTGCAATGCATGCAGAAAAGGTACCAGGTTTGTATTCCAATATTATAATTGTTGTATTTATAAATATGTTTCGCATTTTAATTTTAAATGTTTATTTATATATATTATTACTTATTAGGAAATGAAAACACTGTTGAATTATGGACTGATTTTTGGAATGAGATAACGCCAGGGACTGAAGCAGGAATCGTGCATAATTTGCAAGCAATAACCGATATTTTGCGTACAACTCTTCAATCAGCGTCGTGGACTACAAAAGTGCAAGCCGCGAACGCGGTTCATACCGTTGCCTTAAAATCAGGTCATAATATCGATATAGAAGCCAGAAATACTTTATTAAAGATACTGACAGACGGTCTGAGTGGCAGGACGTGGAATGGAAAGGAACGTGTATTAAACGCTCTCGCAATGTTAGCATGCAATAGCAAGTACGTATATCAAATATTCTTATTTCAAACTTTATAATATTTATATACAAATAAGTCAATTTGTGTATGTGTACATAATGTTAAATATATATGATATATTGCAGAGAAGCTTTAAATGCAGATACTGCATTATTAGATACTATTGTGTTGACATTACATAGAGAAAGTAAAAAGAAAACATTGAGTATCGTCGAAGTGCTTTACAAGCGTTTGCTATGGTGTTACATGAACTCGACATTGATAAATTTACAGAGATATATGAAATTGCACAAGAAATTTTGATCAAGGTGAGCTGAATTGATGTAATAATAATATTATAAAGAGATAGTTGTAAATAAATATGTTATATGCATATTTTTATATTAGATATCTGATAAAAATAATGACGACGAAGAAGATACTGTGGAAGAAAATAGAAAGAAAAAGGAAAATAATATAAAATTGCAAGAAACAGTTTACGAAGTACTCGGAAAAGCTTGGCCTTCTACCAAAGAAACACAAGGTTAGATACTTTGCCATATTTTTTTGTAATTTAATAAAAATTAGAAATATATATCTATATTTTTTATTTGTTTGCAGACAAATATTGCATAGAATTTGTAACTCACTGTCAGAAAGTACTACCAAACAGTACAAGATCTGTGCAGGTTACTATTTTGACAGCGTTAAATCTCTTTGTGGATAAACTTGTCATATTAAAAATAAATAAAGCAGAAATATCATCAAAAGACAAAAAATTATTAGATGAAATAAGTGATAGTTTCAATAAAATATTATCATATTGTATAAGTAAGTATATATAATAATAATAATAATTGCACACACATAATTAAATATGTATATATTTTATATATATAAATATGTCAATTATATTTGTTAATAACATATAATCATATATACTTGTATATATTAAAATAATTTTTTTAAATACTTTAGAATTATATGAATGTATTTTCTTTTTGTAGATATTTCAAAGTTCACCAGAATTAGAAAAGAAGCATTGAATATAGTTCTTTCGTTAGGGAGAAAAATGCACGAGACGAATAACGACGAACAACTTGATAAGATGACGCGTGTTTTGAAAGAACTTTTACCCGATCTAGCAAAGGATAATCAACCAGAAATACGGACCAGAGTTGTTGACATTAAGGAAATGCTTAAAATTTAACTAGCCGTACGTACCTTAAGGATATATCCCGAATTGAATTTACGTATTCGCACATGTCGCATATTGTTGTCGTCGTTGGACGATGACAACAAAAAGGATTCTGATAGATTACGTGTTTATTTAAATATGTTAATGTAGATGTGCCTAATATAGTGTTGCATCGCTTAATAAGATGTAATTTAAAACATAACTCTTGTTTATAACATTTTTCATTCACGCCCGTATATTATACTTTAGTAATGAATCGATAAAATTGTGAAAATTATTGTTTAAATATGCAATTTTCATAGAGATTCTCATTCGAAACTGTTTCAACTTATACATATCGTATTTATACGTTTTATATCCCTAATTAAAAATTTATCCAAATGTTATGATTTAATTGATTTTGTAAATAAGATTTTGCAATTATTTGAAATCTAACATTTTCTAACTTTATTAAGATTTCAAAAATTCTTAAAAAATATGATTCCAAATTGTCAACGTCCAATGCATGAGAAAATTTATAAAATTGTTTTTTTTTTAATCTTAAATTCTTCTGATGTTTATGGTCTATTAAAAATTTTTTATTGCAACAGTATACTGATAAGAAATTTTCCAACATAATTATGAGTTTTATTCATGAAATTAATTCAAATTGTTATATCTAAAATGCTTATCTTTTAATAAATAATAGAAGAATCAAAGTTATTTAAAGTCATAACAAAATAAATCTTAATCTAATAAGTATATAAAAAAAAGAATTTTATTATTTGAATACTTTATAAGACATGCAGAAAAACAATAGAATCAAGTCTATATATGCACAAACTTTCAAACCATCAATTGCAGATAGATAACTGGTAAGAATGCAAGTAAATAAGTTAAAAAGACTTTCGTATTCAATTATTCACAGAATACATAAAATTACTCATAATACCTTTAACTCTCCTCTCTTGTTTCATTATAATTTTGTTTTCAACATAATTTTACGACTGTGAGCACATACAATTTTCTTAGATAAATTGTGCGATAAACAACAATAATATAATAAAGTAAATTCTTATGTGAAGCAGTCTGATAAAATTTACTTTAATATTAATTATAAATTAAGAAAGAAATTTAGAGATTTATTTTATTTTATTTTTTTTATACATTACAATCAAATTTTAAAAAATTAATTGTATACATCGAGACTACAAAGTATCATGATACATATATAAAATGTAATATTATATATACATAAATGATTACTGTATATATAAAGATAGACTGGAGATATATACATATATTTTTCTATTATATATATGCGTTGGATTCATTCAAAGCAGAATTAATTTAAAGATGAGAATCTTTACTTTTTTCTCTCTTTCTCTTTGTTTTCGAATATACTCAATGCATATAATATAAAAAAATATATAGCATATCTTCAATCTATCTTTATATGCCTACGAATCGAGATCAATATTCATATTATTCATTCTTTAATTTTTTTAATATTATCGTTTTTCCAGGACTCTTTTTCGATTTAAGATTTTCTTTAAACAGTTTTAATTTGGATAACAACATAGAAGCAACATTCGTACTTTCATTTTCTATGAGCAAGATTAATAAGAAGCAAGCTCTGTTAAATTCTAACCATCTTTGGAGTACTTCTGTTGTTAAATATGATAGCAATATTTCACCAAATGTAGATTCATTCTTTTTCAATAGTTCCTTGTCATTCTGAATAAGTTTCTTCAACATCATATGCAATCCAGGATGTTCGATTGAATTATATTCGGTTTCGTTTTCTTTGATCTTCGAATTTTCATCGCTGATAAACTTGGCAATTGATTCGAACGCAGTCTTAAGTTTCTCCCCAGATCCTACTTTTAATATTGCTAAAGTGACCATAGCAATAGCGCTGTTGGACAACCATGTTGCTACATCTGCGGCTATAGCGTCAAGAAGTGGATCGCGAATCGCTTCGAAAAGTTCCTTTTCCCTAATGTCAGCTGGTTTCTTGCTTATTGAATTATCGTCGCCTTGATGTAAATATTCCACGACACTTGGCGGAAAATAATGAGAGTCTCTTCTAGCCACGATATACAATATTACGTGTCTTCCGTACTCGTTTAATGCAATATCTGTTAAATCCTCTTGCAATTCAGCCAATATTATCTTTTTCATTATGACTGTATCATCTATAGAATCGAAAAGCGCTAATAATACCATGTAACCGTGTTCGGACATAGAAATCGTCTTTACATTCTCCTTGAAAGCCTTCATAATGACTTTTCTATCTTTATTATTGCCATGCCATATACACTGCACGGCGACTTTCGCTCCCATTTTTGTCTGTGATAATGTCACAATGCAACTTCGCAGCATAACTATCAATTCATTCCTGTCTTCATTTGAACATACACCGAAGAATTCCCATAAAATTGTATGCAGTAGAGTAGAATCAACTAGGTTTTTATTCAAAATTTTAACTAGATTTGCTTTTACGGCTGATAATGTAGCCGTTTTCATATCATTTGCATTTTCAAATACATCTGGCAGTGATTTAACAGCTTTATCTTTCGCCTGTTTATACATGTCTCCGTAAAATTCTTGTTTGAAGTATATTTTATCGAGGTCCGTGCACCAAGTAGAGTATGTGAGTTCGATGAGGGGAGCAGATACAGTGTGACTCATTAATTTGACAATATTACCATAAAACGCACAGATAACGTCATTCTTGATTTCTCGTGAGCCATGTTTTAAAATATCCTTTACGCAGTTTTTCGCGTATTTTGATTGTAACATCTGCACAATGAGTGGTTTTATTTCATGAAGTATAGCCTGTCGAAGATCCATTTCGCAATACTTGATCATGCATTGAACTACTCTCGACATATCATGTGTAAATATCACTGTGCTATAATGCTTCTCCAACAATTCATGTAACGATCGAGTTAATTTTATTCGATCCTCCGGCGTGCAATCCGATCTACGTAATTTTTCGCTAATTTGTTTAGCCTGAACAATTTTATCATACACTGTGTCATTTTTCAATTTTTTGGCTCTGCGTTTCTCCCTGAGTTCCTTTTTTTCCTTTTTCAATTTGAGCCAATCTGTTTTTTCGGTCGTTCCATCATTTCTGGCCGGTCGCAAATTCTTTTCTTCCGAGTCTTTTTTCTTGATTTTAGATTTCTGTACAAACGCTATTTTCTCTTTCTTTGATTTAAGTAAATCTAGTTTCTTACTTGTCGCATTTTGTTTTGCCACTTGGAGATTTTTTCCCTTGGAATTTTTTTTCGTAAAAGGTGTCTTTATATTATTACCTACAAAAATGTTGTTATTTTTATATACAGATAATTTTTCTCAAATTTTGCCTTGTTTACTTTTTTATTCTTACCTGTAGGTTTATCTAAGGGTTTCTCGAATCTCACTTTCTTCTTTTTTTTATTATTTGTTGCTTCTTCATTATTCTCTGCATTTAAATCACCAGTATCTAAATCCTTTGCTGTTCGCTTCATCTTTGAGTAGATTCCTGAGAAATATATAACATGCTGTGTAAAAAATATCAAACTTTAATGAAAATTAGCACATATTTGATTTTTTTCGCAACACATTCTTTAATAAATATATAATAATTCTTTAATAACATTAAAGAATCAATAATATTAAAGAAGTTTAATAACATTAAAGAATTTACGAAAAGAATTCAATTTTTTGGCTCTGAAAAGTACGATTTTAACTTATAACCTGAACCAACCTCTTTCAATGCAAAATGATTTTCATTCAAATTCCTCGTACGGAAAGTCGCAGCAATTCAATCTTCTGTTGCTAACGCAGATAAGAATAGGAGAGAACAGCCGAAGGTGCTTGAATAATGATTTGAAAATTAATTTACTCGATATTTTTCCACGCACTCCAATCAGCCATGCGTCTCAACATGTGATCGTGTTCGGTTTCCGTTCGCGATTACTCGACTCCATCGCGAACAAAGCGCCGCGATCGATAGTCTCGATATATCGATACTCTCGATCGCGGCGCTTTCGAGAATCGCAATTTCGGCCTCTCGAAAGCCAAGTCGCGTCTATCACGTAACGCATCGCGGATTTGAGTAGCTCCGGCGTTTCTCGCGATTATTTATATTCCGAAGCGAACTCGACGCGAAATTATCGCGAGCACTTCTCGCGGCGCTCGTCCGCGACGCGTTGAACGTTCGTGCGCGGTCGCCGCTTCGCGATTATCCGCGCATCGCTCGTTTTCGCGATATCCGACTCGCCCTTGCCGTTTTTCGCATGGGCGCCATTGTTCGAAATCCCCTTCGCGTAATTCCTCGGGTCGAAATGTGCGGAAGAATCACGCTGCGATCATCGCTCAGGTATATCTCTATGCACTCATTTTTTGGCTAATTAGATATATATATATTATTTCCTAGCTCCGGCCCTGGTCGGCCGACGAAGAAGGGGAATAAGCGCGCGGAAGTCTCATCATCTCGTCGCCTCGAGCAGGAGAGTATATTTTTAACTTCAATCTTAATCTTTTGCAGGTCGTCGCTTTGAGAGTCCGTCCGGATCGCGAGCAAGAGTGCAAGTGCATCGAGTGTGTATATGTGTCTGTATGCGTTATCGAACCGGCATCGTGCAACGTCCAGGAGAATCGATCCCTTAGACTGAAGAAGGAGAGAGAGAGAGAGAGAAGAAAAAGAGAAGAGAGAGAGAGAGAGAGAAAGGCAGCAACAGGTGAGAGAACGTAACGATGCACGCGATCAGCTGATAGATTTACCGGGCAACGAGTGGAGCTCGGTTGATTTAATACAGTGATTAGATGCGCGCACGCGTATCTGTGTGTGCGTGTGTGTGCCGAGTGGGCGTGTGTATGTGTGCCAAGGGCATCGAGAAAATGACAAATTTACTTTTCGCTGTGCGAACCGTATTATCGTTTAATTGAAGTCAAATGAAGTTAAATCAACTTCATTCTCACGGTTCTCTCTTTGACAGCTCGCCGCGATTTTAATCTCGCTTTTCATTTATATATTTTATTAATATTCATATAGAATTCTGTATATCAGACACACATACACGTTATCTGGCGTTTGACAATATTGTATATACAGACTTTTGTCTGAGATACATCCCATTTAGCAAGCATACGTCATTTTGACATCGTGACGTCATTTTGACGTTTAATGACGTCAGTTTGCTACTTGGGATATATATATATCTATAAAATATATATATAAAAAATATATATATATATATATATATATATATATCAATGTATTTTTTTATATATGATTTTTTTTATTCTTATCTTTGGCTGATCGTGTTCTTAGTCATCAATTGTGCAGCGACGCGATGTCACGTGCACGTGGTTTCGTCGTGTGCCTCAAAGTCAGTTTCGAAGTCGATTTCGAAGTCGTATTCGGCCTCGAAGTCGTCTCGATCAGACTTTGCCATTTTATCATTCTTAAATAGTATCGATAATGAAATCCATTGTTCTTTCCACAATCTCGAATGGAGTATGATATAATAAATAATCAAATGTATATACGCGCGCTACGATAAAGTTACGTCAATAAAAGTAAAGGCAATTTTTTCTCGCCTCGTTAATTTATTATAGGCATTTAACAATCACGATGACGAAATCAAATGCATATGGCATGTGTGATTTATTTTGATTTATACTTTAAGTCTCTCTTCTCCAGAGCACATCTCACGATGTTACACGCATATTTCACACTCGCTAAAGCAATATATACGAATATTGCGGATGAGGTAACGCACGTTGGCGTTACAATGCTGCAATTGCGACGACTATTTCACCGCTTTTCGTGGAATACTTAACTTTTTTATCACGATTATATTGTTGTCCGTGAAACGAGATATAAATTTTTTCAACGCGCGTAAGTTATTGCTTTATTATGCTAAATAAGCAGATTCTGCTAATGCAATAAGAATTTTCATTTTATATCAATCGCATTTTATATATTGTCTCAACACATATAATTTTACGCATTCATATATACATTTTGAAATTTTAAAGAAACCTAAAATCGAAACGTTCGAAAATTGATTAACGAGTGAGGAAAATGAGACTCGAATCTTTATTAATCTGTAATTTAATTTAATCCTTCCCTTGAAAGAGAAGGTAGCAAATTTTTATTTCCCCCAAAACTTATTTGAAAATCTTGTTCGTTTCGTTCTCTGTGCTCAAATAACGCTCGGGGAATCGCGACAATTTTTGCACGCGAATCACGTCGCGGACGCGCGATTCGACTTGATTCGCGTACGTGAAATACTTACGAAAACTCGGAAAGAGCGGGGAATCCTTGAGTCCAGAAATTATGAAGAATGCAATGCGCTCTTCCTGCGCAATGTTTGCGTTCGTGCAACGCGTATTATCTTCCTCCTCGTTGTGAATTGTTTTTGTCACACAAGTGAGGTTTCAATTTGCAGATTGTATCTCTTATTCGTCGCGATTAAACATATATTATCATTTTTTCACACACACGTGAGATTTACGGTAAGTAATAAAAATTGCTTTAAACTTGTTAATATTCCGAATTAGCTCGGAAATATCGATGAGAAAAAATATGATAGTGATATAAACGCACATGGCTCACGATTTTGAGCTTGCGATCTATTGATTGTTTACTTGCAGTCGAAAATGCTGTTCTCAATATTACTCTTTTTATACATTTACAATTTTTTAACTTTAATTTCAATTTTTATTCTTTACAATGTGCAGTCAATTATTTGTATTGAAATTATTAGTTTTATACATAGAGAGAATTTTCTCTTAGAATTTATCCTGAAAATTATGATAATCATGGGACAATATTGGAAGAATTTTATAAGAATTTGTCTGATTAAATATTTACCAATAAAAAATATCTACCACAATAAAATATAAAATATGTTCGATTAATTTTTTTATGTACATATTAATATTTTTTATTGTGGTAAATATTAATCAGAAAGAGAGAAACTCATAAAATTCTTGATTTTCAGAGTAAATTCTAAGAGAATATTCTCTCAGTATAAAAGTAGCAATAATTCTTTATTTAAACAAATTTGAATTGTAAAAGATTCTTTAATTTTTTGAATTAATCTTCCCAATGCAATAAGCTTTCACTCTCTAATTGAAGTGCGAAAAAGATTGAAATCACGTGAAGTTGTTAATTGTATTAGGATGCTACATGGACAAATATGTATGTCATTATTAATGAGCTATTAAAAAGTCTTCTCACGTATTAAAATGACGATGTTATAATTGTGACTAAATTTGCATTATATGACGCACAGCATTATTGTCTGACATTTATACGCTATTTTTGGCTATACAGTTTGATTCCTATTTCGGAATCACTCTGTATGTACAGGTAAGGTAATATAATGTATATTATTCCATTAGGACTTATTCTGTCTAATCTATCTAATGAGGAGAAAAAGTTATTTAAAATTAATTTTTTCCAAAGAAAATTTCCAGACGATATGTGTTAATAATTGCAACATACATATGTCGCACGAAAATGCTTGACATGTGAGAAGTAACTTATTGTTAGTAATGATTATCGGTCATTGATTCCCTTTCGATGTATCGTTTAATAAAAGTATCAAATTAGCGTCGACTATCTCAAAAAGGATGCTTTGCGTAGCACGTTTAAGATTATGCAACGAATTTAATTGAAACACATTTTCAATTCTTCGAGCTTTGCTGCTCATATAACACCTTCGTATTAATAGGCCAAGGTCGTGAACGTGTACGAAATGGCGAGCAAAAATAGTAATCTCGTGTTTCGTGGCAGGATCGTCGACCTCCTTGTTATCCCATCTTTTCTAAGCCTTCGTTGTTTCCTTCAACCGTGTGTGTGCGTTTTGCATTTTCGCAACATCTGTGAAAGAAACTCATCTGGTATTACATTTGCACCGAGTAAAGGAGAGATGTAGCTTGAGAATAGCGTAAGAGAATAATAAGGGTAAAAATATATATATGAAGTTGGAGAGTAACTTAAGATAGGAGAGAAATAATATTTATTTATATAGTGTGACGTTGACAGAAGGAAAGTGTTATAATCAAAAAATAAAATTTTCAATATCATAATATAAAGTATTTTTTATTTTATTAACATTTTTTAGCGATGAAAATTGTATTTTTAAAATATATCTTTCTAAATTACCTCTTTTCTAAATTCTAATTTTCTTACGTCTCAATTTAATCTTTTTTATAATTATTCAATGAATCTGTGTTAGAGAATATATTTTCTATCTCAATATATAATATAGATTTTTCAGTTTCTATTATACGCTTAGAAATGATAATTTGCAAGCGAAAATATTTTTTATAATATATTATAAATGCGAATATTTTATATTGTTTGTTTTGATATTTTCTGCGTTTTGCAATTTAAATATTATATTCTCCATATATCTAATTTTTAGAATTATTTTGTCTTTTTCAGTTACAGTTACAAGTTTATAAAGTTATAAAGTTTATTTTTCTGGCATCATTTCATATTTTTAAACATATTTTTTGTATTTTAAAACTGTTTTTCACTTTTATTAGCCGTAATAATGATATTTTATGATTTTGGATTTATATGAATAATACAAAAAATTAAGCTTAAAGTTTTAATAATTAGCATTTGTATAATACAATAAGTAAAAAATGCCTACAACATATATTCATCTTATCTATTGATTTGAGTTTTTTTAATAATAAACTAAATTAAAAATATTATAAAAATTGTATTTTGAAAAATTTTTTGTGCTTATTGTATAATTCTTATTTCAAGCGATTTTTTAAAATATAACTTTTTATACAATAATATTTGAATTACAATTTAATATTTGAAAAAAATCAACCAAGTATCAAATATTTGCATTTAATATGCTACAATTTTTTTCATTTAGATTTATGAATTATTATTTGCACACGTACAATATGAACTGAATTGAAAGATCTTTTCTATACAATATTTATTACAT